AGTCTCTTAAACAAAAGCCTGATATTTGTCATGTTAAAAAAAAAAAAGGGCCACCAAAGTTCTTGATGCCACATCATTCAACTGCCAGCCCGGAGTCTGAACAAGCTAAAGAACAAACAAATTGTCTGCACCAGCTATCCATGTGCTAAGACATTTTGGGATACAAGTGTGGCATATTGGGACAGTGATATACTAATATTGACTGTACTTTTATTTAAACCCAGAAAGCTCATGATCCCCTCTGTAAGCTATCTATTTGCATATGAATTTGGCACAGTCATGTTTCTCCGAATGAGGTCTACGGCTTAGTGTGAGGCAAGACATATCACAGGTTTTAAATCAGATATGCCTTAAAGTCTTGACACAGCTAATAAACTGAACTTTATGATCCATCCAAATGGAACCTCAGCCCTTTAAAATCAGTTATGCAAATGTTGACAGGTTGACCGTCTAACCTCCAACCACTTACACACTTTGCCAATTGCGCCAGGATGTTAAATTCCACTGGTTCTCGGTTAGAAGTGTGGGTGTCTTTCTTTCTGTGTTTAGTATAAATGACTGTCATGCTGCCTGTGTTTCGGGGTAAATAAAGGCCTAAGGCTGACACCGATCAAAGGGTTTATATTTATTTTAATAACAAGGGTGCAGGACAACTAGAGAACAGGAATAAAACTGGTCAAATGATTCTATTTGTCACAGTTTATCAACTATAACATTAATAATATTGTATTTAATGATTATGTAAAGCCAAAATTAACATTTTGCAGAGGGAACCACAGACTCATAGAGTATAATGTGTTTGAAATGTAAAATGTATAATATCCTATTATATTAGTGTTTAAATTACAGTTTGTTGTATCAGACATATAACAGATATTAACATATTAGCAATTGTACGTTTATTATTACTGTTTTGTACTCTACATTATGAGCAATAATCTGTTTTCATCATTAATGTATGTATTAATACTTATACACCACTATATGTTGTAATTTACACAATTGTACATGTTAATTGGTGTGGAATATTTAAGCACATTTGCACTGCTTTTCTTAACTTCTTATGTTAATATAAATATTTGTATTCTATTTTATTTTGTCCTGAAATTGCACAGTTTTACTTTGACTTCTGATGTTTAAGACTGTATTCTATTTTACTTTATTTTCTCTTTGTATTCCTTCCAAACCGTCACACTACTCTCCCGTGATAAATACATTATTCTGATATCATATTACTCTTTATATTACTACATGTGTTATGTATACCACACATTGCTGAATGTATATTTTTTGTTTTTAGTACCTTCCCATGAATATGAGTCACTGGAGAAACTAACCTGAATGTCTTTGTACAGCACTCACCTCTTTCTTTGTGAATACATCTCCTAACTTTGACTTGATACACACAAGAGGTTCTTGATTTACTTTCATACGACTCTCAACTATATGTGATGATCGTAGTTTTAATACACAGACTGCAATTGTTATGTTGAGTGACGGTGTTTATTTAGCCGTTAATTCACGCCTCAGCATCTTTACAGCTTTTTACAGTTGGTCCCTCTCCACAGATAGAGCTGCTTGCATCCAGTCAGCAGTATCTGTGTATTGAGGGTGTGACTGACTTTTCAGTGTTTGGTGTAGCAAAGAGGGACAGCATGGGAACGTGGATTTTCACCGTTTAGTAGAATCAGTTAACAATCCATCACACAAAGATCGGGTTTCACCGACATGCAGGTTCTACTCTACTGGTCATCGCTTATTTGACAGTTTTCTGTCAGTGAACGCTTACTTTCTTTCCTAACTTTCTTTTTGAATGGGTTGGATGTTTGAGAGAAATCTTATGGCTCCTTCATTTGAATAAAATATCATCCTTCATGAACATAAAATGAGAAATAAAGTGTAGAGTGTATTCCTTTTATTCATATCAAAAACACAACATAGATAGCATACCATACATTAGGAATGATTTTTTTTTACAATAACCAACAAACCAACAATACAAATGCATAACATTACATAACACATTGACATATTTACAAGATAAAATTACATTTTCAGACTCCAGGACTCTAACTTCATCAGATGTTAAGCTTTACTACTAGGCCTACGAAAAAAACATGAAAGAAATTCTACCTTTAGTTAATTCCTACACAGACTTAGTAGACAATGGTGTAATTCAACTACTACTCTAAATGTGCTGCCTGAGCGCTGTATGGGTGATACCATCAAAGAATCTCAGATAGCAGTGTGGAATGGCCTGATGTCAGCAGATAGGATCCAGGATCTGTTAGTAATGAGTCAGATCTGATAGAGACTTGCTTTACTTCGAATAAAAGCTGACTGAGGATCTGATAGAGAGGCTGACTGCGGTTTTAAGGGAGGGACACTTCTAGTGCATTGCTACTGACTCAGCTGTTTCTGTGGGAATCAAAGCCTTTTTACTCTGATGTCACACGCTATAGTGATCTTCAACTGCCTCAGTCAGCGCAAACTCCGTGTTTTTCACAACCGAAAAAACTGAAGTGACCAGACAGGTAACACTTCCTGTGGAAAGTCTTTACCAGAAACCAACCCCCCACCCCCCCCTTTAATGTCTTATTAAACTTCTGTGCCCTCACGATGATAAATGATTCCTGTCGAGCCAAGTGTTGGGTAGAAATGCCCACTGGACGCACTGTACTGGCTGAGGATGGGGCTGGTGTAGCCTAGGGAAGAGTTGGTGGGTGAAGAGGAGAGCACAGTGGGAGCTGATACTTGGGGTCCCCACTCTTGTCCGCCTGAGTTGGGGGAATAGTTGCTAAAGGTTCCAGGTCTATGAGGCCCATCTAGGTTGATCTGCAGTGGCCGACTTAACCCATCACCCCCCACTTCATTAGCTACTGTCACTCCAGACATCTCGGATAAGAAGCTGCTGAGGCAAGGAGCGGGGCCCGACGATGAAGGGGAGGGGATCCGGTCTGCCGTGGGAGACATGTTGAGGGCAGTTGAGTGTTTGGGGCTTCCCCTTTCGCTGTCTCCTGACTCCGGAGCCCCTGAGCCATCTCCACCGGAGAGGGAATCAGACTTCCTCTTCCTTTTGCGGCGGAAGTTTCCATTGTCGAACATCTTCTCACAGTTTGGGTCGAGTGTCCAGTAGTTGCCCTTGCCTGTGATGTAAGAATGCAGAATTAGTGAGGTTCAATTTGAATTAAAAAAAAGCTTTATACAACACACCAATAAAACACGATGGTACATACAACATATGCCCTTGTTGGGGTGAAATTTAAAAATAAGGAAATCAAAAAGCAAATATTACCTGGATCATCCTCATCTCTTGGTACTTTTTTGAAGCAGTCGTTGAGTGACAGGTTGTGTCGGATTGAATTCTGCCATCCAGCTTTACTTTTATTGTAGAAGGGGAAATTGTCAGCCACGTACTGATAAATCTGGCTCAATGTCAGTCTCCTGTCAGGTGCTCCGTGGATAGCCATGGCGATGAGAGCGGAGTACGAGTAGGGAGGTCTGACCAGCTTCATCAGGTCTTCTTGTGACGGGAGAGAGAACCAGCTCAGCTCCCCTCCTGGGCCCCCAGCTCCAGCAGGACCCAGGTAGGGCCTCTGCATGCCGTAGTGCTGGGGGACAAAGGGGGGGCCTGGGTTACCAGGTGGGCCCGTTGTAGCCAAGTACGGCGGTGTGTTGATCCCGGTGCCGTTGAACCAGAGGTAAGGGTTTGGGGTGGAGGTGTAGTCGCTCATGTCGTAGGAAGTCGGAGCGGTGCGCTGAGGACTCGGCAGTGAGGGAGGGGGGTAGTAACAGTCACTGTACATGCTGAGCTCAGGGGGCTCCTGACCCAGGCTGGGGAACTGCGGGCCACACCGAGGTGGAGACTGGCCCTGGGTCTCAAATGAAGACATGTGAAATGTATTCTCACCTCTTTAAATCTCCTTTTGCCTTTCTCCTTTCTGTGACAATGTTCTTTGTGGAGAGGTATTGTCAGCTCCCGAAGTCCTTTTCTTCGTTGGCAGGTATTTGAATGTGAGTTGATCCAAATGATGGTGTCTACACTTCGAAGTCGTATGCTCTTCTCCACTCTCTTCTTGTCTGTTGGCCCCTCCTCACCTGCCTTACCTGCTTTATCTGTTTCCCTGCCTCATGTGATTGGTTCTTTTCTCAGGTGAGATCTTTATCCTGTTTCCTCCCACTTTTTTTTCATACTGTCAGCTTGTTCAGTCCCTCCAGGTTTTTTTTTAACCTCAATTAAATATTTTTCCACTCAAGCTGCTACTGCAACATTGATTAAGTTCACTCCTCTGTAACTTTTTGATGATAATGATGAAAATGTAAATTGACTTCAAAGTTTTGAATTTAAATTCTACATTTTAATAAGCATTTCTTGAGTAAACAGAGTAGTTATTATGAAGATAAACTACGATCCCGAAGACAATTTTGTGACTATGTTCTTGTTCTATATAGATAGTATTTAATTATATATTATAAAGTATTTGTATTAACTGTAAAGATTGACCACACTCCAAAAAAAGGAAAATTGTGATGTAGCATAAGAGCAATAGCCTCTTGCTCCCAGGTTAAGATGTAGAATTATAGGTAAGTAGACCATGAAAGCATAAACTATTACTAGTAACTAGTAACAGTGTTAGAATATCTGTAGTGATATATAGTTTAATTTTGAATACATAGTATTTTGATATCATTTAAATGAATACGAAATGCTAGGGGACATTGCCCATATCCTTTCGTAATCTAGAATTTCACAAATTAAATGATCACTTTTTACAATTGGCCACAGTGTTTGTGTTTTCATTACATGGCATGTTATCATTATATCATGATGTTGCGTTTTTTTTTTCATTATCTTCATTAGCAATAAACATATAAAAATAAAACATATAAACATATATATATATATATATATATATACAAATATATATAAAGTTAAACAATTACAGAAAGGACATTGTCTTACATTATCCTGAAAATCGTAGGAATTTACGTCATCATGTTTTAAAATGAGAAGGCCACTACGTCGGTTTTTTTTGGGTTAGCGCGAGACCTTTGTTTTTAGTTCAAACCAACTTGCCGAAGAACAGCACTCAATCGTAAGTTGTTGCATTTATACTAGTTAGTACATCTTCAACCCATACACTGATAGAATAAAACTTAAGCTGATATTTGAAAGTGTTTGTGTTGCAAACCTAACTTAAGATCTTAAGAACCTACGATGCTAACTTGACCTTACTAACTGGACCGCAGTGAGCTAGCTAGCTCTAAACATATTAGCTACCATAAACAAACATTAGCTACGATTAGCAAACATTAGCTAGCATGAACTAAAATTAGGCTTTTCAGCCAGGACAAGCTAGCGTCAGCAACAGCTTGCTGGTGTTAGCTAAAATCCGTTTTATTTGCGGAGGTAGTGTATTGTTACTGTTTAACAAACCGACAGCTGATACAGTTCGTATGCCGGTTTATTATTCAGATGGCCGATTCATCTGCGCTCCCCGAGCTTCCACAAGAAAGCATCAACGACGCCTTGCAGGTGAACAAGGATTTGGAGAGAGTTATAGAAGCCGTGGAAGATATATCCTGTAAGTTACTTTGTCCGTTTACAGACACAGTAATTGATCGTTTGTTGTGGAGCTGTGTTAGCTAACATACATGTACTTTTTCTGTGCACCTATAGTGCAGTTGACCTGGATGGGTTATGACATGGTGGCACTGCGGACCAGTCCCGAGCTGGGGACTTCTATGCAGAAACTGGAAGAAGCATATAATAAATGCAGAGCTATTATCTGTGGAGACCGACAAGAGCCCGAGTCAGAAAGTAGCATTTGACCTGAGCCCACCACCATAGCACCTACTCAGATGTTATTTAGAGTTTTTAGTTGACAAGATTACACTGAGACTAAGTGGAACGCTTGTAAAAGTCGTTTTTATACGTTGCTATGGAGAATGTGTATTTGGACCGATGGTTCTGCCTTTTTGTCTTTAAAACAGTATTTCGTATTCACTAATGCCCATACTGAGCTCTTTGAGTGTGTTTTTATTGTTGCATGGTCTGCACAATTTGCATGTTTTGGTGGTGATGGAGTGTTCTGTTTCTCCTGAGTTGAACAATAAAAAAAGAAAAAGAAAATAAGTTCTCCTGTGTTTATTTTAATAGACAATAGTCAGACATGCCTGGCACCTACTTTTGTATTGTATTGCTTTCATTATAGCTTCTATTTTAGTTGCGATGTAACACCAGCAATAAGAATTACATTTGAAATGTGTAAGATCTTGTGTATGGTATGTATTAATCCCATACACATTAAATTAATACCATACTGACAAATCTTGTTTCGTTGTTATTCAATTGTTTTTCAGATGGATAACGCAGACACAAACCCAGAGCAAGCTCCCTCAACTGCCTGCATCGATCTGGTAAACATACTGAAAGGGCTGGACTCCTTATCTTACTGCATAGATCAACTGGCATGTAAGTGACAGTTTTCCCTCAATCTGCTCCTTTCACACAAAATAATAATTGAGTCTTGCTGACGGCAAGTACGATGACCTTGATGATCGATTTGCAAATATGCAAAGCGCTTCATGTAACTGTTATCCTAGATCTGAAATGTGATAGCAAGAATTGGATTATTGCACTCCAACTGCTGCTCAAATTTGCCTTGCTTTGCTTGTGAATGTCAGAGGTGCAAAGTTACACAATTTTACATGACGTCTGTCAGATCGCGCTCTGCTGATGTGTAGATATGAGTAACGGATGGAATTCACACATATGGTTGTCTATTATGCTATTTGATGATAGGCATGATGTTTGAGTTTATCTTTTTTGCAAAGAGTAAAGGCAGTCAAAGTTCTCTGCTTACTGTGTTATTAGGGACATATATTCTTACTTGAATACCTTTAATGCCTGCAAACAAGTGTCAGAGGTTGTGTTTCTTTGAATAAAAACATTGTTCTGGCTTTAAAGCAAGAAATGAATACACCAGTTTGTACTAAAGAAAAGGAATTATGAAAGATAACCTGTTACTTTAGAGAGCTGGTGCCCATTTTAAAATAGAAAACCTACTTAACCTAAAAAGCAGAATTATTTTGACCAACCATTAAATGCTCATTTCTTAGTTTGTCTGTGATGTTTCACCCAGAAATAGCTTTGATTGTTCCAGCTGTGAGTTGCTCCTCTATTTTCATTGTCAATCGTACAATAATTCTGCTTACCAACACATCACTCAGATATCTACCTAATTTAGTATGCACACTCTGCATGCATTTTAGTTTAGTGTGATTGCGAAACATAATCAAAACCTGGTAATGATTCGCATGCTGAAAATATGTGATATGTCAAGCAATTTAAAGTTTACTGCTAGTCACTCCTGAGGAGTAATGTATCTTTGTGTCGGTACAGTGAGTACTGACTAATAATACGATGACAAAATAGAAAGGAATGTATGCTATTTTATCTCTCAGGTTTCTCCCTTTTATGTTCTTCCATCCTTGGTGTAGAACTTTCTGTTGAAACGTGACTTTTGGACTATCTAAGAACTGTGTTGACCCGAGGCTCTTCTTCTAAAACAAGGTATTTGTTGTCCTCCTGCAGTGCAGACCCAGCTGAGGCAATGTGATCTGATCGTTTGTGTTGGCCACCCTGACAAGATGCCTCCTCTGAGAATCCACGAGGCGCTGAAGCAGCAGCCCCCAGCATGACAACTTGAAACATGAAGAACAGAGGTAATGCTGTGTGTCTGGGAAAACATGGTTTAATAAAATATACAAACCACCAGCCATGTTGTAATATTCCCTTTTTCCCCGTTCTGCTTAGTCAAAATGCAAAACAAGTTACAAAAGAGGAATTGCATAACAATGACCTTGGTGGTTGTGAAAATGGTGACATTTGTTTTGGGTTGTTGATTCATCACATTAGCATACAGAAACCAAAGTAAACAGCCCCATTAGGTTGGTGGTGGTCAGAGTCCCGCAGGGTGCAGCAGACAGCACTGGTTCTGTGCTTCAGAGCTCCGGGCTGTGGCATCAATGAGCAGCAGAGGGGTGTGTGTGTGATGGATAATCATCTCCTTCACCCCGGGGAAACTCTACAGCACAGCAGCACACAAGAAAAGATGACAGGGACCTAATGACGCAGCGCAACACAAGTCAGCATCCAACACACCCCGAGGCGTGCCACAAGATGGGGAAACTTTTCAGACTGGCATTTTCCCTCTCATTCTAACAAAATCATACTCCGTTTACCTTGGTGGTTTTGAGGCCGGTGCCCAGGGAGTAGGAGTTGCCTTGGTTACGGATCATAATGTTGTAAACCTTGCCTTGTTTCAGCAGCATCAGGGTGTAAGGCTGCTCAAGTGCGCCCTGTGAGCTGTCCCTCACCACAAACGCTCCGTCCTACTAACACAAATGTGGACAAATGCACTCAGGCGTATACTTTCAGTCAGTTTAACATGATTTTGCAAATAACATTCTGTAACATTTCGATTGCCTTGTGTGTGTCTGTGTCTGTGTGTGTGTGTGCTCAAGAAAGAGGAGGATGAGATATGTGAGAGGCAGCCCCTGACCTTGTTCATCTCTCTGAGAGCAGCTTTAGCTTCACGTCTGGTCACCTGCCCTCCATACCAACTGGGATCCAAACCCTCAATGCACTATACAAAGACAGTCATAGTAAGGGCTTTATAAATCATTTCCTCTTCTTTCTCTTTTTGTAGTGACAAACATGTGTTGGACATTATTGTTGTTGAAGCACAAATGTAACAGATATTTCCATGTACCCAAGCTTTTGAATTAAATGCAAGTCTGTAGAGTTCAGCAGACATAAGGGTTGCACCGGTGTGTTCCTTTTTACAACAGCGCCATCTGCTGGTCGAGTTCCCAAAGTACTGTGGTGTTCTAAAGCTTGGACAGTAGAACATGGCTCATTTGTGATTCCACTTTGATTCTCACCTTTGTTGGTTCTTGAATTGATTTAACCGGAGCAGGCTGTGTGGGCGCTGAAGGAACTTGAGAGCGTTTACTTATTCTGGGAGGGGAGAGGTTCAATGGAACATCAATGAGAAAACCATAATAGCTCATTACCCAGAGCATACACTTTTAGTTGACCCCTTACAATACAATTCATTCAAGGGACCCCTCATGTATGCCCGTGTGGATAATTTGATGCAGCCGTTTTTTACACGTATATGTCAATTATGTTTAACAACACAAGATCAATGTATTAAAAAGATTATTAGACATGTATACAAATATGTGCGCCATTAACACGTAATACCTATACAACAAGGCAACTGACATCAATCAGAATAAAGCCCAAATTCGGATTGGGCTGTTTAAAGTCATTCACTATTAGTTAAATTATACTTTGTGTCATGATGATTGAAATGAATGAATCTGAAAACTACCTGTTGAACACATCTGTAGCTCTGGGGATTCTGGGTTTTGGGATCCTGCCTGTCAATGAGTCGGGAGCCTTGACAGCACTGCCCTCTAGTGGACATGAGTGATAGTGCAACACAGACAAGTTGTAGTATTGTCACACGATGACCACATGTTGCTGTTTAACTTTTACACAGTAATCAGTACATACTTGATTTTGCAACGTCGGTCTGGGAGGGCTTCTTGCTCCTGTCCACAGGTAGATTGGGTTGGGGGGCTGGGGTTCAGAAAAGGGAGACATATTTTTACAGAATGCTTGGAGCATCATAATCAATATGTCCGGTGATCGTGGAGTTTTTAAATGTACACTTACGTAGCGCATTGACAGGTCTTTGAGGAATATGGCTGTTGCTTGTGGTCCGAGGGTATGCAGCCTTTGACTTCCTTTCAGCAGGGATCGGCTCTGGAACAGCATCTGCTCGCATGCAGTCATGGAAGAATTACTCTTTATTTTTTAGCAATAGTGTTCAAAGTGCAAAATCATTCTCGAGTAAAACGTTTTCATATATCAAGGTACCAAAGCATTAAACATGTCCCATTTAAAAATAACCTTTAATATATTTTTGTATTATATTTCTGCATTAGTGTGTTCATTTTAATTGCGTATATACTGCTGGGTAGTTTAATCTATAATTGTATATATATATATATATATATATATATATATATATATATATTTTCATCTTTCGATGTAATCACAATCTGTAAAGTTTTAGTTTTAGAAAAAAGTACCCATTTTGACTGAGATGTATACAGTGTGCACAATATAATGAAAATACTCAACTAAAGGATACATACCTACAAATTCTACCTATACAGTAAGAGCAATACTTAAGAAAATTAACTTTGTCACATTCAACCACTCACTAATCACACGTTTTTACTTTAAAAGTAAATACAATTTGAAACCAATTTGACTTTAAAAGCCGAAAATCTCAAAGCTAGCTCGATATGTTTTCACGTCTGATGCCTTTCTTTGTGTACAGTGCTTGTCAGGATGCTTTCTGTTACCTGTGTTGTGACTGTGCTGCACTCTGGGAGGTGGGGGGGGCTTCAGTGTGTCTACAGAGGGCGGCGCCTCGTAGCTCTCCTCGTACGTGTCGTCTGCGTCTTGAGGCTCACTCAGAGCACAGATGTAGCCGTCCTCTTCCTGGACACCGCCTCCATTGTCAGGATCACTGTCATTGTCCTGACCCCGGGCCCAGACATGTAGTGAGCACATGTGCACTTCAGATCACTGAACACTGCTCTGTGTACTTTAACTTGTTACAGTAGCTGTTGGTAAATGTATCACTTAACAAGGGTTAGAGGAGAGAAGGACACAATGAAGACCCTGACGTTTTTATCATTTTAAAGTGGCTGAACTTATAAACTAATGATCTCATAGCTTGTTACTCACAAACTCATTGGAGTCCCAAACTTCTTCCTGTTGTGCAGGTAAGACTGAAGATAAGGAAAAAAGTATAGCATCAAGCATGATATTGGTCTACCTTTATGATGTCTGTGGAATAGGTGAATCCATGTTATTTACCTTGCTTTGGGTACTTTTGTGCTTTTGATCTGCGCCAAAAATAAATAAATATGAAAGTTATGTTTTTCAGTTTCACATTCAGCAAAAGTTATAAACTCAAATCTGTTTTCTTACTTTTGACCAAAAGCCCTCTTCTGTTCCCCCTTGTTGATGTCACTCTGGATCTTAGATATTATTCTATGAAGATACAAAACCATTTTTTATTTCATGGTTTGGTGTCCCATCAAGTTATATTTTGAAGTCTGACTCACGGGACATAAAGGCTGGGGAACACTTGGAGCTCACACGATGCCATTTGCTGTATGATATAGGATAGATGTATAACAGAATTAGTATTTCAGAATAGTAAAACAAGTGTAAAGGCCTCCAGAGATATAGACATACTTACCAAGAAATGTGCTCCAGTTATGCTGCTCCTCATCACTAATTTGTCACAACCAGATAACTTGAGCTGATACGAAATAACACACATGTTTTAAATTGTCTTTGAATGTCAGATGTATAAGTTTAGTGTTATAGCATTTCAATATATAGGAATAATGAAAGAAATATAACTGTAAACATTGAACTATGTTATACATTACTCAAGCCACTTGCATTGTTTTATAGTGTTTACCTAGCTTACATTAATCTGATACATTCCTTCCCATATCACATACAAGAAACGGCACTTCTTATTGAAAATACTAAAACACTTGTGTTGCTGCTTGTTGATACTCACCTTCCTCATGTAGTCAGCGAGACTCTGCTGGTTCCATCCCATCACGTCCACTTTAGAGGGCACATTGTTACAGCTCATCCTCGTCCCTTTTATTAATCACATCCACTTACAAAATAAACACTTTAATCACAACCAGAGCTTCATGTGTTGCAGCGGCTTCACAAACTGGTTTCATTTAAAGTCTTGAACAAACTCCACCTACCTATAAAAGGAAATTCGAAAATGACCTCTCTTCCAGTAAATTGCTTTTGTTATGTCTTTAGACTTTCTGTCTTTTGTGTAAAAGTAGCTCTCCGTGGTTTGAAAGCACTCAAACGTATCGCTATGCACACACTGCAGCGTGTCTCGCTCTAAACTTAGAGCCTGCTGGTTTCCTTTCACACACCTAAGTACGCCACCACAAGTTTGCAGCGTATCATTTTAGTTTCTTCTAACTAATGTGTCTGATTTTTCACATGAACATCAATGTGAGATGCAGATTCTGTAAACATTTTGAAATATGGTGAGATCTAAACAGCCTCTGTTGTAGTTTCTGTTCACATGTTCTTCTAGCTTCCTTTAAAGGCACGGATTCAACTGCTAAGAGGTATTAGCAGAGTCCTGTTGTATCCCAGCCACAGGCCTCATGGTATCTCACACCCAGGTGAGAGAGGAGGGCAGCAGAGAGAGGGGATGATCAATCACGCTCAGACCCCCAGGCTTGTCTGGGTGAATACATGAGTCCTCCTGGGGGGTCCCTGCGGGAGATCACCTCCCCTGTTTTCCTCCTCTGTCCTGATTGGGAGACATACCACCCCCAATGAAAGACATGCCACTGTGGAGGAGGCATGTAACGGGGTGTAACTATAAAGCAAGCGGGCAAAACCTTCAGATGTATTTGTCATATGCACAATAGCAAAGTGTTATCAAGGAAAACCTTAGATGTTAGACTCTTCCAACAATGCAACATACTTAACATACAAACTCAAATACATGAGTGCAAAGTAAGACAAATATATACATAAAAGATAGAATAAGATCAAAAAGAATGTAAAACTGCATACTGCACTGCTGTAATAATATATACATATATGTTGATATGTGAAATGAACAGATGTACAAAGGAACAGTGCATTAGAAACTCACCTCTGGCTGGCAGAGAACTCCCTGCTCCATAGCCTCTCTTTGGTTAACTGGACTTCACACTGTACATTTTAAATGTATATTTAATTTAATATTCCATTCTTTGCACATGTAATGTAAATAATATCCTGCTTGATATTGGGTTAACTGAAGATTGGCCCTTCAATAGTGTTGTTATTATGTTGTCAGATGGTTTATAGATTTGTTTTATCTTCAGTCTATTTTATGTCATCTATTTTCTAAACTCTCGAATGCCGGTTTATTTCTATTTTGAGATGTTTATATTTTATAATTGCTTATCTCTACTCTTTTCATTTCTAATTATGTGCAATGCCTTGTTTTTTTGTATGTTGCTGCAATGAAACATTTCCTAATTTGGCATCAATAAAGTACTTCTTATCTTATGCTGCTCCTTGTTTTCATATTGTAGGATGAATCACTGACCCTAGAAAGGACACAGTTTAGGGAGTTTACCAGTAGTTTGTAAATCACTATCGAGCAACAGCAATCGTATGGGAACAACATGGAAGCAATAATGTCCTCAGCGGAGAGCAGAGAGGAGAGGCGGGTCAGTGAGGGCCTCCAGTGGGGCGAAACCTTCATTAACGCACAGCAGGGCATCATGGGAAATACAGGACATCCCCAAAGCAAAACAGACAAATGGGAAGGATGGGAGGGAGTGTTTTGGTCTGGGAGCGTGTTACTTTCCCTCTGGTAGTTTCTGTCCATATGCTTCAATTACTTTTTGCCCTAAAAAGGTATATTTGCAATTATGCTACGTTTATTGTATCAGTGCCTACGGGCTTATTCGTCTAATTATCACAAACTGTGTACTTTCTGACTCCAATGAGAGTTCATGGAGAGATCCATATAAGGGATTTGGCAATATAGGATTGGATCAGGATTTGCAATATAAACCCAATAAATTATTAGTATTGCATTTCAAATATCAGATCTGTGGCGATTTGCTTTCAAATTTGAGTCCGATTTATAAATAAAATACTGGAATTATGTAATAACAGACTTGCATAATGTTGCTTTTAAAAAAAAAAGTATTAATCGTTTAACCAGTGGGACCTTATGATTTATGATTGTGCTATACGAGATTTGTTTTTCGTTTGATTAAAAGGTGTGTCCTAACTGATTCAGGAAAGAATATTGAATTCTCAACTAAATGTAGTGTTTCCAGTATGTTTGAGTGCCATTTAAAGCATATTATCAGGATAACAACGGGAGTCACACTACCTTTTTTCAGGATAATCTTAAAATGAAATATTCATATCATCTCAGCCTAACCCTAACTGACACCAGTTGATCAACTGTATAATGCAATGATAATCCTGTAACTTCTCACTTATCTCCTCATTTACTGCCTGAAACAGCCTCGTCCCCCTCTCTTGTCCCCCAGGCATGGACCCCCCTCCCATGCAGGTAATATCCATGCCATCACTCACTGAGCTGACACAGTGGCAGATTTATGACATATCCAGCTGGGAGGAAGATTTTTGGAGATGCAGGGGGTAGAGGACAGGAGGAGGTGGATGAATGGCTCTTCAGACACAGATAGGCCAGGGGGCGGAGACCAGGCTTCTCTTAGAACTAATTACTTGCAAATTAAAGGATTATATATGATTGTTTTCAATGTGGGATTGATTCAGAATTGCAGTGCAATATCTGGAACCCAATTTGCTTAAACAGTAAAGTTGGGTCACATTTGCTGTTACACTGTCCTCTCTTTGATGCATTGTGATACATTTGCATTGCCTGTGGGATGTTACAAAAGACTAGTACAGGCTGTAGTGTCCCGGATTATCAACCCCAAAAGTAATTTCTAGTGGTGGAAATGCTTCCTCTAATTTCTCTTACAAAGCATTGCTGCTCTTTGAGTGAAATCAATACACGTTGACATCAAAGTGGCAGTGGATCAACATCTTGGCTATAGGTGCGAGCTGCACCATGTTATCCATGTAATCCTCGGCTGAGTGTATTCGCCGCATTCTTATTCTAATAGACACTTGTGTGCCCTCACTTAAAATCCAATGACCCTGGGATGTATTAGGTGAAACATTCTAATGTTTATTGACCGAAATGAAACCACATTCAGAGGTATTTTAAACTTTTTTATTTTATTTTAAGAAAATATTTATAAATAGACATGTACGTTTTTATACAAGGATACAAAAAAGTGCAAAGAGACATTTAACATGCTCATGGGCCATTTTTTTTTAACAGATTTTACCACGAGGCCATTTTTTTTCACTTGGGTCCACGGTACCTCCGTCTATAGCCGTGCCCATCAGCCGCTTCCCTCCTGGCGCACACGTGTTTGACTATCACCTGAGAACAGTCCTCGCAGTTCACCGTGCAGCACCATTGGAATTTGCAGTTGCAGCTGCTTACTACCTCCGTGCGCCTCTCCTCCACCTTCAGGCCGCATTCATGACACAACCTGCGGCAGCTGCGCCTCTCCCACTGGGTCAGCCCCTCTCCGTGCTGCAGGCACTCCCGGCCCTCGGTGCCGTACAGTCCCACGCTGGTGTTCCTCCTGCAGTAGTCCGGGGAGTCCTCCAGGTAGATGAGCTCAGTCTGGGCCACGCTGCCGGACGCGTCCACGATGGCTCCTCGGTTGTCCGCGCTGTTGCCAGCACGCATGCGCTTCTTGTTGATGTCCAGTTTCTGCGCTTGGCTGTGCTTCAACTTCAGGTAGTTGCCGATGTCTCTGAGATCTGACAGCTGCGTCCAGCAGGTTTGGACACTGCAGCTCTCAGACATGCCGTGACATCTACACATGCGCCTCATCGTTGCCTTCACGGCCTGTTGGAAACATGGGAAAGTTACAAACCACTCATAATGATTTAATTTCAGATACATGTTTGTTGTGGGAGAAGCACTCACCAGGCGCCCAGCCGCGTTGTTGTGCAGGTTGACTGCAGCCCTGGAGTCCTGACCTGTCTCCTGCGCGTCCACGTACTGTTTGGAAATCCTCTCTCCGAAATCCACGTTATCACTACAGCCACCCCACAGCCAGCCACTACCACCTGCACACAACATAACAATTATATATAATTCGTTTTGTGTGCATGTCATAATAAAACAATGATATTTTGGTGCAAACCTTACCAATTTTACCGTTCTTGGAGACATCACAGCCGCAGTTTTCGAGGTCTCCCAGACTACAGTTCCTGGTCAGAGTGTACATGACCCCCGCTGCGCTGATGGCATGGACGAAAGAGGTCTCTCTGGTGGCTGGAAATAGGATAACGTGAGCATTGCGTAATCAATAATAATACAAACAATACTTGGTCACTATAACTTTTTATATTAAAACAATCGATTGGGCTTATGCATGATAAGGCATAATTAAAACCAATGCAACTTGTGTAACTATAAGACCAACATTCGTATTTATTTATGGGCCCCTACATATTTCTTCAATAATTGTGTAACTCTTAACACATACGCCTGTACGTTTTTTTCGTTTAGAGTCCTACACACAACTTGTATTTTACAGGAATTGCATTTACAATCTCGACCTACCTCGTCTCAGTCCTTTAAACTGAGTTGCGCTTTCGGGGCAGTTCCATCTGTCCCACGCAAACTGGTGTCTGCACTCCTCAATCCCACTCATTGCGCCCTCCTGCACGCTTCTTGAATAGGTGAGATATGTCTGCAGAAGAGGCAACATCAATTATATTTAGCCTGATTCACATTTTTGAAATGTTATCCTAAACTTAGTGTTATCTTTTGTATTTACCTTGGGTCCCGTCATAAGAAAGTTACTCGCCACCCTGAGAACAAGATAGAGGATAAACAATTAGATCAATAAAGCCTATCTTTGGTCTTCACAAATTAAAACGATGCAGGCAAAGTAGAAAAACGTTTCTTACCAAGCATGTCCCGGACACATTTTGTATAAAAGAGTCAGGAGCCAAAATAATAAGTGCACCATTTTCTCCTGCACCTTTCAGCCCTCAAAGTAGAAACCTCGTTATTTTGGCCCTGTGTGCTGCCACTTTCTCTCTTAAATGAATGGATACCAAATGGGACTCTTGTTCTTTGTCCCCCAGGTCCGAGGAAGCTGATTGGATGACGAGTTAAGGAAACGCCTATATGCGCATTTCAAAGGATGGCATTAGGAGACAGTTTATTTTCTTGCCCAAGGCTGTTTGACACCAGGGCACCAATATACAAAATACTGCCAGTGACAAATCGGATTGAGACATGCGTATTGTAGAAAAATATTTATTATAATTTCAATTAAGAATACATATAAAATACAAGACAATTTACAGACGCAACAAACCAGTTATCCCTGAAACCCAACACAAACGAGTGAGCATGAATGGAGAGTTTTGTCAGAATCAAATCAAAAGAACAAGTGCATTAAAAGGTGTCAGTTGATATGTCAAGTTGAAAAAAGTTACATTCTTGTAATACTGAATAATGTTTGTTAATGTCCATAATAGAAATAGAGATCCAATGCAACAAATAGTAGTCAGTGGCGTTGCGCACGGTTCCTGCGCTTGGCTTTATTATGTGGCTTCCTGCCACCTTGTTTACGCGCGCAGTAATATTTCGTAACAACTTGCGTACATTTGTCACACTTGACCGTGCAGCACCAGTGGAATTTGCAGTTGCAGCTGCTGACTACCTCAATGCGCTTCTCCACCACTTTGAGGCCGCATTCATAGCACAGCCTGCGGCAGCTCTTTCTCTCCCACAGGGACATGTTCTTGTTTCCCTTCAGACATTCCCGCCCCTCGAGGCCCTGGAATCCCAGGCTCCGGTTCTTGACGCAGTAATCCGGGGAATCCTCCAGGTAGACGAGTTCAGTGCGAGCGATGCTCCTAAAAGCTAGTGCAATGGCTGCTCTGTTGTCCGCGCTGTTCCCAGACCTTGTCGGCTTCTTGTCCATCTCCAGCTTCTTTGCGTGTTCGTACTTCATCTTCAGGTAGTTACCCACCGCTCTGAAGTCGGCCAGCTGCATCCAGCAGGTTTGGATGCTGCAGCTCCCGGACACCCCGTGGCACTTACAGGCTCTCCTCATGGTAGCTTTGATTGCCTGCAAAGAGAGGGACCGTGTTAGTTGGTTATTTATTCACAACACATGTACTACTTTCTCCTCCTTGGATTGCATCCCACGCGTAAATGTCCCCAAAAAACATAAATGTTCCTCCCCTGGCCTCAGTGTATTGCACATATTGGAATTCAGATAGTCCATAAATAGTGGTATTGTATAATAAAGTACATTTACTAGTAAGTAGTAGCTACTACTACTAACTTACTTGCACTACTTTTCTACTACAACAAATGCTACTTTATTCTTAACTCCACTACATTTATATAACGAATTGAGTTACTATTTACTTCACAGATAGAGATTATTAACGAATACAGGTCATAAATAAACGATATGTTTTTCGGTTGAGATATTCATCTGCAGTAGGCCTATATGAAGTTATTAAAATGAGTTCCACATATATGAATCTGGAATGCCTAGGCTATTACGCACAAAAGGTACTTTTTCATTTACTTGCGAGGACTTTTTCAATGTAGAATTGCTACTTTTACTCAGGTTAAAAGTCAGAACACTTCTTCCACTGTCCATAACAAGTGATAATAAAATCTAGTGAGTAAAGAAAAATCATATCTTACCAGTCGGCCTGCCTCGTTGTTATGCAGGTTGATTGCTGCGCGTGAGTCCTGTCCACCTTCCAGCGCGTCCACGAACTGTTTTGAGATCTTCTCTCCAAACGCCACGTTATCACTGCAGCCTCCCCAAATCCAGCCTCTACCACCTGGTGAATCAAATACACACATTGTTATTCAGTTATCATAATGATAAAACAAATATGACGTAATTCATCTAATGGTAGCCTAAATAGATTATGCATAAAATAGATATTACCTGTTTGTCCAATTCTGGAGTCATCACAGCCGCAGTTGTCAAAGTCTCCCATACTGCAGTTCTTGGTGAGCGTGTACATCACTCCGGCAGCGCTGATGCCATGGACGAAAGACGTTTGTCTTGTTGCTATAACAAGTGAAATTAGTCGATTAGTTTTTATTCCAATTGGGAACGATAAATGAGCAATGGCTGCAGTTTACTACTGTGCGTAAAATGTGCGTAAACCGTGCGTAAAGGCATATTGTTGTGCGTGGGTGCAATACTGTTGCGCATGTATGGTGTTTCATCGCTGTGGTCCCAGTAATTAATTTATACTTTGGGTTTGTTTCTCTTCTCAATGGAGGTCAGACAACATCAGCCCCTCGTGTTGAATAATTCACTTTGTGCAAAAGAACAATTGTTGGAGTTGAACTCTCCACCACTCCACTTATGCAAGTCATGCAAGGATATGAATATGGACCTACATGTCTTACCACTGCGGAGGCCGTTGTGTGTAGATAATTGGAGCGTGTTTTCTGGGCAGTTCCAGCGCTCCCACGCGAACTGGTGTTTACACTCGTGTATTCCACTCTGTGCGCCCACTTGCACACTACCGGCATATGTCAGAAAAGCCTAGGGAGAGAAAAATAAAATGTAAAGTTAGTTATTGTTGCATTCAATCATTCAGAATAGGTTTTTAATTAAAAAAAACTAACATATTTGCATTTTCGGGAGTGTTTTGACGCAAAAACGTGCTCAGAAAGTTGCATCAACATGTATTTACCTTAGGTCCAGTCATGAGGAAATTATTCACCGTCCTATAGAAAGAAAACAAGAAAGCCATGTTAGTCCCTTGCCACCAGTAATCACATATTACACTGTATTATGTTATAAACGTATTAATCCAAAAGTAGGTCACATACCAAGCAAGATGAGCATGACAGCACATGGATAGAACCATGGCTAGGAAATAAAAAGGTCCCATAACAGCTGTATTCCAAACGGAGAATTTTTTTAGTTGTTAATCCCAGATGTTATTGCCGAGAGAGAGGAGAGGCAATTGATGATTTAGCTCAATCCACGCTGATGATATTTATATGGTCCGGCCCCTTGACAGATCTTTCCTGCAGGTAACGGTCGACTGTGAAAATGCTTCCACGACGACATTGATTGCCCATTCCTTTTGACAAATAGGAGCCTTCGGTGCATAAGTGCCCTTCAAAGAAGTCAGCCCCCCCCCCTCCCCGCTCTCTCCCCTATTCATTCACCTGTCGTTCTCAGGCTCTAATCCCTAAACACTTTTCATGACGAGTGGACGCATATCCAGTATGATTGGCCACATTGAACCAAATATTAATAATATAGTTAATTGATTATATGTTTACAATAATATAAGTCAAGTGGAGGATATTGAAATGATGCGAGAAGACGAATAGTCGAAAAATATGTAAGATCACTGTATAACTATCTTGACACATAAACCATTGGAATTCAAGGATTTATTGTTTGTTTTTTTAATAGAGGCTGACTGTTGCACTGAGGCCTGCCATATTTCATAATCAACTTTGTTAGACATTAAGACATGAAATATGTCTCCAGTTATACGTTAAGGAAAAACAGGACAAAATGCCGTCCTGAGGCTTAAATGTGTACTTGGAAACGTTTGGGAAATGGCACCAGTTCCCCAGGGAGAAAGACTGCGACTACAAAGTCATAAAGTCTTTCAGGAGCTGATGGTATATAGTCATGTAAATACTCCCTCACACATCGGCGACATTGGCATCGTCCTGATAATAGGATAATAGATGTTTTCCTGGAAAACAACTCGGTGTGAAAACAGTCTGGAATTTACAAGAGTATAAACAAATAACAGCTTTAATGTCCTCCTAACCATAAAATTGTAAATTATTGCATGGCACATCTTTTTTGTTGTTGCTGATTTGTAGTTTTAAATTTAAAGATAGATGAAGTTGATCATTCATTAATTAAATCTGGGATTATCCAGTCTCATTGGATTTCATTTACCTGATCATCCTTGATAGTCAAAAGTCATCATACCAGTTTCTGTCATTTCATACTCGTACCGTGATTTAATGCGAGACGAGTTATTGATTAACATTACAGTTGTTACATGTAATCGCTTATACTTGTCAAATCCCCTCTAAACCACTCAAAATCCCCTAAAACAACAATACACTCTGCGCATCGGGCAATATGCAGAGGGCTGGGCGAGCTCCTCCGCACAATAGCGAGGAGGTGTAGGTGAGGATAATCCCTACTAATTAGATATGGCCCACATTCATACTGCAATAAGACTGAAACCTCGAGCCCCTCATCACCTGGTTGGGAAATAATACCGAGCGATACAAAATCAATCTGTGATGCTTCATAATGTGTCCCTAACCGAAGGCTCATTTAGGGTTTTGAATGGGTTAATAACCTGCAAACAATAGTAATCTATCCAGATGGGCGTGTTGCAGCGTGGGTGCGAGATGTCTCTTAAACACCGAAACTTTCAAGGACAAATCACGCGGATTAAGTGTCATTAAAATACATATATTTAATGAATGTGCTATTAATACATTACTAATCCGACGTTTTGGCAGCTGTCAAATGTACAATTTGGTAACTATATTAATACAATGTATTCAACGGTGTTTACTATTAATTATATATTACAAACAAAACAATACTATTAGAATAATAGCACTTTAAGAGCTCCCTATTCATTTCGGAATGTATTTCAACGCATCTTTGTGTATTCCAGCTCAAGAGGGAGACGGAAGGGTCAGGACCTTTTTAAGTTACGCCATGCTTGGAATAACATCAAGTAAAAATGCGCACTAATTAAATTGTTCTGACAGACATTTCAGACACATTAGGCCTTCAACAGAGTGTTGACGGGAGATTTACGGCAGTGCAAGGTGAGAGAAATCGAGCAATAAAGGCTCAGGAGGTGACGGGCTTCACAGGCCGAGGGAGGGTGGCAGGACTGCTGACGCCAGCCAGAGACTTCAGTCAGGGCACAGATCGGGCTGTAGATTAACATTGTAGCAGGAGGGTGTTATGGGAAACCAAAAAAAATAGAAAATAGAAGATTACATAAAATGAAATACACCTATTTATATTTACATATTAAGTTAAGAAACAATGTGCATGTTCTACTACAATACATTTCAACACAATGTGTATACAAATATATACAGGGGTGTATAAGTAATGTACACCAGATATTTGATACAAATATACATTGTAGCCTACAGTAATAATCCTAAATGTTATTGCACAGTTTAATAATGGCACAGGTTATACTGAGATTGGGTATTGTTGGTACAGTTTGAGATGGTGAAAGCTGTTGATTGGTGAAGTAAATCCAATAGTTTGTTGACTGAATGAAATATCTTTCGTTCTGCAGTGTAATTCCTATTCAGATTTAATGATTGATATATTATCTTACATAGCCCTTTCCAAACATCCATGCAGAGTGGTATTTTTACACTGCTGCGTTTGTTTACTATGGTGTCCGTCTCCATGACAATATTGTTGTCACCAATCCCCTCCTTCCTCTCTTTTTAATCAACCATAATCCAGCCTATCAGAGGAATGCAGCTATACTGCTAGCTAACAAGCTAGCTCCTCCTAGCTACACCATCCAGCAGCACTGCTTTTGGAGTGTCTTTATGATCTTGCTGTAAAACACTGAATGATAACAAGTAGGGCTGGAACTCATGTCATCTTTCATATACATTTCATCTAAATGTGTTTTTATTAATTCATCATTTGCACATTCATCATTTGGTCGATATCAAATATTTAAAAAATAGCCCCAGAGTCTAGGGTGAGGTCTTCAAATACTTTTCTTGGTACATTCAAAAGTCTAAAACATGTTAAATGTATTGTCATAGAAGGGTAAGGCAACACAAAAAACACATTTGAGAAGGCAGAATGATTAAGCTTTTAGTTAGCTGATTATCAGAATGTTTGGAGGTTTATTTTGTCCATTAATCAACTTCTAGTAAGATAGCTTGACATGTCCCCAGGCTGGCTGCCTTATTGTTGCCAGTTAAAAAGAGAGGATATAAGGAGTTCTGTTTAAATAATTTATTCATTAGAGTTTTGCAGTTAATTTATTTTGTTTATTTAATGTTCTGTACAAATGCATACGAGTGTGTGTTTAGCCTAGGAGGCGATTATTAGGATTATTCTTATTATTAGTATAGCCAACACTTATTCTTAAATTATTAACAGTACAATATGTTTTGCCCCTTTTTGTACAAAGAACTCAAAGTAATGTAGTTGTGAAATGTCATTACTTTAATATGGCTCTGTATATACTCACATAGAAGGTGTGAATCATAATTGTATACTTAAATATACAGTACTGACCAAACCGTAATCTAGATAACTTATTTTTATTAGTGTATTTATTCCATGTCTGAGCACTCATGGGTGTGTGTGTTACACAGACATAAAGGAGACAGCAATAGGCACAGGACTGACTGGTTTCACGTCTTCATATTTATTTCATAAATAAAAGTAAAAAGTTGAATAAGAAAACATCCCACATGATTCGACTCCGATTGCTCCCATCTTTAGACACCCCCCCCCCCCCCCTCCCCTTTCCCTCCCACTAGCATGGATGCCTGCCTCTCTCTCTGTGCTACATCACTACACCACTCCCCAGTTTGGCAATATTGGAGACATGTTAGCTATAGGCTAACAGTGCAAGACAGGCACCCAAGCTAACATTTTTCCACCCATGTGGTAAGAGAACCCCCAATGAGGGGATGCCTTAAACACTTTACGGCACCCCGCGATGCTCAAAAGCAACCTTTTCTGAAGACAAAGCAAGAGATTGAAATACTGTGATGATAAAAAAAAAGTGCTTTTTGCTGTGGCATCTCAGCATCTTTTCTTCATGTGCTCGAAGTCAAGGTGTGGCATCGCCTTTCCTCTCTTGCTCGATGGCTGGAGGATGAAAAAAGAAGATAGTTTAGGTCAGCAGGCTTGTGTTTAGTGAATATGTAACAGGGAGAGTGCTGCGTTTTGATTAGCTGTATATGAATGATGTGCTGATGCTGCAGCAAATTGTTTTTCTTCCGCTCTGCTTGCTAAGCGTTTAGTCTTCTGACAGCAGTGAAAGTGATGAGTAGCTACTGCCAGGAAAATTGTTGCAGGGGGAACAAGGCTTGTGCCCAGAAACACACACCCCCACAGACACACACAAGGGGCACTCACTCTCTTTGGTGGGCAGAGGGTTTTTCTCTTGTGTTTCTGTCTTCTTCAGCTTTGCCTTGTCGAAACGGGCAATCTCCGTCATATCAGGCTTGTCAGACATATTGGCTGTGAAAGAGGAGATAGAAAAAAACAAACACCTGAGCACACAGATTTCCCCCGTTCCTGTCAGTCATCATACTGACAATGCAGCAGCACATTGTATTAGATCTATTCTGTAATGTAAGAGCAATTACAAGTCATCACAATAGCTGTCAAAAATCTAAATGCCTTTGTCTGATGTTGAAGATAATGTTCTGTAACTGACTGAGCAGCACGTGTCGTAGCCACACCTTTCTGTGCAGACATGGCTGCCAGTGAGCGGGGGCAGCCTAGCACATGCTCTCTCTTGATATTCCACAATACCTTTTTGGCGAACATGGGTCCTTTTTTGTTTGACCTAGCTGTCTGTTCCTTTCTTTGTCTTTGTTTTCCTCCTCTCAGAGCCAGATGTCTTTGTTCTCTTTCCTCCACATCCTCTCTTTCTCTCTTCCTCTCTCACTCTCACCCCTGCAGCGTGGTGGATTCAGGCAATCCTCCACTGCAGTCATATTCCTGACCTAGCCGCAGGTCTGACTAATCTATTTCCCACAGTCTGCTCAGAATCTGCTGCTGAAATGTGACACATTAGCCTGCAGCCATTTGCAAACCTAGCTACTGTAAAATCACTAGTCTGTATTCAGAAGAGGAGGCCTAATACAATCCCTTTGACATAGAAAAAGACATACTGGAATCAAGGCCACGATTTGAATTATTTCTTGAAACAATCTTTTCTGGATTACCCTCTAGCAACACATTGTTTCTTAATCTTACCAACAGCCGCAACAGTCCTAATCTCACTGTTCTTCAATTCAATCAGTAAACCTAACGATTCAAACATTATCTCTATTGTTCCCTCGTCATCCTCCAACACATCACATCATTTCCAACAGCCCCTGCTCATCCAGCCACACCCCAGTCCTTTGTTTGTCTCTAAAACAGAAGCAGAAAAAGACACAGACACATTGAGAAACACACTGAAGCAGGGATGATTCGTTCTCACCGGTGTTTGTCAGAAGTGGGCTAGAAATCCACCAGTGGAGGGATAGAGGCAGCAGAGATGGAGAGAAGGGAGAGCGATGCGGAAGCTGACTCAATCTGCCGGTGTGTGCACGCCTGCCTGCATCAAGGGTGTGGGTTTAAGAGGGAGGGAAGGAAGGAGGGAGGGAGAGGGAGAGATGGTGGAGAGAGAGTGACTGAGAGCTTGGTCAGCCTTCCTCCTCGTCACCATGTCCTCTAGGGAAAAGACAAGAGGAGACCAACCACTGATAGGGAACAGCTGTGGATGCTTATCTGGGATAGATTATGATACATTATTTATGTATTACATTGTGTGTATTATGGATTTTATGATACAGTTCCCAGAGTAGGTCAGGGACACACTGTGATGGTGGAAAGAGGATTTGCTGCTACCAGTGTGTACTCTGAATACTTCTATACTATTCATGTCATGCTGAGCGTGATGAGTATTTATAAGATTGCAAGTCATGCTATAAAATGAACCAGTGTCGCATAGTATTTATAGCTGAAGCTAGTTTGCAAGACCTGTCCATAGATAGTCCTTGTTTAAATACACAAAGATCCAGACCAAACAACATTAAAAAAGCACAAAACACTTATATCATATATTACATTTGCCATACAACTCTGGTTAATCATAATGGTGCATGTGCTCTTACAATTCTTGTATACAACATAATTATATATTGAGAGTTATTAGTATTAATAGAATTATGAAGATATGACCATGCCGATTCGTTCACGCTGCCAAACTAAGGCCCTGTAAAAAGCCATATTTATATATTTATTGTTTATATTTATAGGGAGACGTTGTGGACCAGTGCCACACAGCATTTATAGACCAAACTAATTTAAAATAACCATCCTTAAAAGGACTTTTATACAAATACAGAAAATCAACATAAAAATATACAGAGAAGTGTGAAATACTAAACAATAATAAAACGCAATGACAAACGGCAGATTATTCCTTACTATATCCCCCACACAATTAGAGCTGATTGACAGAAAATGAATCTGCAACTATTTAGATAATAATCAATATAAGTCACATTAAAGTAACATCTCAAATGTAAATACTTCTAGTTTTATTAATGCCCTTATAGTTAACTATATATTTACATTTCGCAGTGTTGGTCAAAAAACTAAAAATGTTAAGTCGTCACTTTAGCCTTAAAGGGGAACAGAAATTCTCTTATTTTTGTGTTGACCACAATATGCTTAGTGTTTCAGTTCTGAAATGTAAAAACATCCCATATAATCACAAAAATGGAGCTCTCCCATCTTTCCAAATTCATTGTCTTTAGAGACTTTATACATGATGACATCATACATTTGAGGTTTAGCACTCTAGTTTTGGATTTGAGAGACCATTTTTAGTAGTCCAAGACCATATGAAAAACGGCCGTTCTCTCCTTTATGGAAATGAATATGGCTATTTTAATTTTTCTTCACTACTCTATGACATTTTAAAGACAAACTCATTCATTCATAAACAAACAGTAAACAATGACAAAAGTAATCCTTAATTTTCCCCATACATACTCATTATATGAATACACTGTCAGTAACTAATCTCACTTCCAAATTCCATTTTATGATACAACATTCTTTTAACTGGTTATGGCCAACAGCAGACCGCTTATTATCATATCTGAACGCATTATTTGAGCATTTCTTGTCACATGCTTTATTTTGTGACCAAACACACAGATCAAACAGCTCATGATTACATCAGGCTCTAACAAGGCCATGACGTTCAGAGCTCATGGCCCTTTGCTGACATCATGAAAGCTGCCGGTCCTTAATCCTGCCAGAGCTACAGTTACAGAGAGGGCATCTCTCTCCGAGCAGACGTCTCATCTCAGAATAGCATCGCCATGATGAGTCAACATGATCTCAACCTTATGAAATGATACGATGAGCCAGGCCTTGAGATCTGGGGAGCACCGTGTTAATGTGTGACATCATGTTCCTGGATGACTGGGCTTTACTGGATCACAATGAGGTCATACATACTGTACATACCTATGGGGGCTTTGTTAGGAGGCTGTGCCACCATCTACTGGCTGATGTGTGGAACTGCTTCATTTAACAAGAGTCATTCAATCACAATTCCTGGAAGGAGGAGGAGGTTGTTAAAGCACAGCCCTCAAATACTGAACAAAAAAAACCCTGGAATGAATGTCAAAATGGCCGACTTCCTGTTGGGTTTATGGTATACCTCTAAAGACTTTTCTGTGCGTCTCCACATGTGACATATACCTACCAAATTTCCATACAAGTAGGATAAATACATGTCAGGGACTGCTCTATTTGTGAAGCTGTTGGGCCATTATTCCCCACTCATGCACAAGACCAATATTTTACATGAATATTCAACATCGCTGATTTAAGGCTCTCAAAAATACAATTTTGTTGGAGAAAATAATAATTAAATTCCAATAGGCTCATTTGCCAAAGATGTTGTCAGCGCTCAGACCCTAGTAACATGCTTGTTACACTTCCCCTCTCTATTAATTGCTGAATACAACAAACAATGCCTCATAATCCAGTCTAACCTATGTGATAGCCCTGTGGAGCTAATTATACGTCAGTGCTCTTCAAAACACGTACTGGTTTAGCCTTTCAGATGTTTGTTCATAATGAGTTGTTTGCTGCTTTAGGACACTGTGGGACAGTGTGGGAGGGGAAGATCTTTGACCTTCTCTAAATATGCCCGAGCCCTCATATTAACCTTTCTGTTTGAAATGTTATCCTATTTGAATCTTGGAGATGCGAGGCCAACTGACAAAGGTCAGACTTGGCAGCCAAATGACCTGTCAGAACAGTAAGGGCGTCTCTGTCTGTTGTCTGGCTGACTTACAGGGTAATAGACCAGCAAACCTTTCCTGGGATCAAGTCTGTCTCGGCCCTGTTTGTCAAATATCAGATATCAGAGAGGAACTCATAGAAAGAGCCAGAAGGAAAGCAACTTAAGATGGTTCAATGTATGGATAGCTGTAATGAATTGAATATCTATCTATTTATTTAGCAATATTCAAAAAATAGAGGACTGATTTGCTTATGCACAGTAACCAATGATGTCATATATGGTGTGAACACAGGATGGCAGCACAGGACAGTTTAAGATCTTTGATGCACCGAGATGAAGAGTCTATGATGGCCCACCAGGGTGCACTTATCCCTCAGCTCTGAGCAGCATAACAGCTTGTAGCAGCTTGAATCCTAATGACACTGATGTGAAAAAAGAAAAAACTCTTTACGCTTTTCCAAACAGTCTTTTCCACACTTGCTCATAGAGCTTTAAGCCAGATAGCTCAGTGGTTTTGCATCACACTCAGAGAGAACAGGAGATGATTCAACTGATTGGAAAAAGAGAAATTATTGTCAATTCAGCAGTCAAGCATTTACTTTAATGAATATTGCAAACAAGCAAACAAGGCATAATCCAATGCAGTTCTATTATTAATTGGTTGGAAGGCTGTTTTTTTTTTTTTTACAGAGTAGGCATTTTTATTTTGTGGGGATTTGTTGTGTTTGTTTTCTGTGACTTTCAGGTAACGGGGGTTAAGATGGAATGCATTCCTCAACATATCGAAGTGAGTTAATGGGTTTACATCGGGGCTGTGCAAGCAGTCTGTATGATCTGTGTTTACTGTACAGTTTGGCATAGCAACTGGGCAGAACACCGCTTTTGTTTAGTTTAGAAATCATATCATACGCATGTTTTAACATGTTAGCATTGTCGTTGGGAGCTTCCACAGTGCTGCAGTTATGACGTATTTTTGTCTGCTAACCATCAAGTTAGCATTGCAAGGGCTGCCTTGAAAAATTCTAATCATAATTTTCCACTTGGATTTGAGCAGAACATAAGCTATGTGGCTAACAAACATTTAGGATTCTTAGATATTTTGTTCAGCAGGATAACATATTAACAACACTTTTATAAAAGTCAAAGCGTAAATACAATCACCAGAAGTAAATAGCTAACACTGGGCTTTGAACAAACTATAACATGGTTACATGACTTTACGTTACCATCGCTAAGCTAAAGCCGGCTAATGTTTGCCATGACAACGTTTAGTAGTTCCGTTTTAGACATTTGTTAGCAACCACCTTTTTTTATGATACATCAAGACATTAACCAGTGAGGTGTTTACTGACATATTTTAAGTTGTAAAAAAGAGCGTAAAATATCTTAAGCTTGTGTTAACAGACCTTATTTTAGCTATCTAACCAACAAACATTATTCACAAACCATTGACTGTGAGAAGAGCCAAAATGCTAAGTCATCTTCAGGTTTATGGATGGTATGCTGACATTAGCATTTAGCTAAAGCACCACAAAGCTGTTAGCATGTCTGTAGACTTTTGTTTGTTACATTTCACTCTCATCCTTCTACCAACAGACTCCTCATCCTTCTTACCTCCTGGTTGGTTTACTTGTGGTCCTGTTCATATATTAGCCAGCTACATGTGTGCACAGCTTAGGTAAAGTAGTGGCTTGTGGTTTCTCAGCACTCAATGTTAACATGAACAGAAAACACACATTCCTGTTCTCACACAGGTCGAGTTACTTTTATCATCCCAGTTAGATGAGAGATGAGATTAAGTATAAGCAATGAATAAAATGTAATTATCAACCACATTCACACAAATGTAATGCTGCCATGGCGTTTCTTTTATCAGCGTTATTGAACCAACGGAATGACTTTAACTCAGATATGCAGCAATCTTCTTATTACTTTGTCAGTCCTTGTAAGAGTTATCTCTGAAACAAATCTGATTACTCCACACTTAAAGAGGAATTAACTAAATCGAGCTGCAGTCACACCAGACTGGGGTGTGTTTCAGCAGAGTTGTGGGATGTTTTAGGATGCATTAGGATCAGAAAGGACAGATAAGCACACTGCCTCAGCTCATGATCTCCACAACTAATGATGCAGCGTCTGATTGGTGCCCTGTGTTCCATCACCCGACCAATGAGCTGAGAGTATCTCGGTGTGGAGGAGTTATCTCACCTAGCCAGCTGGAGGACAGTGACAGAGATGAAAAGAGGAGAAGGAACATAGCAGAGAGAGGAGAGGAGATAGGGATGAGAGATGAGGAACCAAGAGAGAGGAAGAGATAGATGGAAGATAAGGGTGC